AATTGACTCAAAAGCCTCTTTTGGAAACCTGTTGGGAGACATCCTCTCTAACTGGTATAGTTTGAGATAGTCTGGAAGCTGAGAATACAATTAAAATTTTCAGAAGTTGCCACACTTGAGGCAGTGTTGGATTTTTATGTATCAATGCAATCCTCATGATTAAGGCATTCAACAGATTATTGATCTTCCTGTACTGGAAGTTTTTAGAACATGGATGGGCAACCTTTTTGTATGCACATTCCCTCAGGGATAATTGCTCGGGGGGGGGGGTATTAATATGCCAGCAGTGACCAGGGCCAGAATGGGAGGGCAGAGCAGGGACACCCCCATCTCTCTCTTTCTCCTCATGCAGAAGGATTGTGGGGAGAGAAGCAGATTCCTCTTTCCAGAGGCCTAAACTCATTGCTGCAGAGGGTTTTGGACCTTACACTGAGGGCCTGCATGTGGCCTTAGGTTACCTAGGCCAGTATTAGAGGGATTATCTATTGTATGGGTTTGATCCCGAGCAGGAAGGTCAGGGAGGTGTCTTGTGCTAAGTTAGGTTCATTGATTACATGGGTTAATTGTTGGGATGCAGCCAAGGAATTGGGGGCAATTGGCAGGCCCCCAGCTGGCCCAGCCCACCAGCCAGTGTGCCAGGCGATCTCCAGTCCTTGGATCAGCATGAAACTGTGACCCTAGCTTCAAAAGCCTTCAGAAGCTGGGCACACACACTCAGCAGAGTAAAACGCTGCACAACAGAAGTGGCATGGAGAGGCTGTGTTGAGCATATTTACAAGCAGTTTTTCCCAGCATACATCAGGACGAAAGGAAAACATGTCTTCTCCCCTTCATGTCCAAAGCAAGACAGCAAAACAAAAGCTATACACAAACGGAAGTTCCCAGCAAGCTGTGCTGGACTGTAAACAGACATGTGACACACAACAGTCTCATGCCTGTCCCTTAAGGTGGAACGGAATATTCTAACAGTAATATGCAGATGTTTATGAACAAGAAACAGAAAGGGTTATTTGGAGTCGCAGATCTGGGATCAATGCCAAAATAAATATGGTGGGAGCTGGCCCATTTCTAGAAGTAAAGAGAAAATAGATGCGGGATGCTGAACCTTCCCCCAAATATGTCACTTACCTCCTTGAAATTTGTCCCTTGCTATGGCTTTTCAGAGGATGCAAATGCTGGAAGTGAGCCTAGGTGAAATAAGTTGATATGGGTGTGTGTAGGTTGGCTGGTTTTGCAAATTCTACTGTCATCCTTGAGACCCCGAGCACTGCACAATAAACAAATTATTTATCTCTGTGTCTAAATCAGGCCATAATCAAAGCAGCAGCATCTTGCAACTATTCGGTTTCTTGTTTCTCTTACGTTTCAGGAAAGTCGACTGGTTTTCCTTGGCGTGTGTCATCTTTCTACTCCTATTTGCACCCTTCATTGTATATTATTTCATAATGTCATGTGATCAGTACAGTTGTTCTCTAACTAAGCCAGCCATTGACTTGGTGACGGGGAAAGCCAGTCTCTTGGATATCTGGCACAAGACACCACCATTGACTTGGAAAGCTGCGACCCTCTATGCTTCTTGGGTAATCTTCCAGGTATGTGCCTTGAGGCTTCTCTGTTAGAATCCAATAGGGCATAAGTAAGGCAGTCTCAGGTATGTGATCAAAACTGAGCTTTTCTGATTACAAAACAGTATTTTATTGGTAGAATCAAAGCTCACACATGAAACTAGGGGAATATAGACTGTCCATTATTATCCTGTGAATGATATTGGCAACAACCCAAGACTCTGGGATTCAGCATTCTGTCACTACCTGATTTACATCAGCTGTTAAGACCCCTGGCTTCTGGACCTGTGTGTGATAATTTTACTGCTGACCCGTTTTCATTTGTATTGCTGTTTCCAGTACTGTCCTCCCACTCATGTTCTACATACATACACAATTACTGAGTCATTAGAAAGACTGTAGGTACATAAGAATTTACACAGGGAGAAGAAATGTCGATAACGTAGAATAATGCCTGAAACTGCAGGGAGTAGAAATTATCAAGATGGGATTTGGAAGAAAAAACACAACTGTCAGAAAGAAGAGCATTGAGAACACGAGCCAAATTACCCATCCTTCATAACTACCTGACAGTTCAGAAATCATTTAGCGTTTTTATAACGAAGATTCCTGCATTGTAGGGGGGTTGACTAGATGACCCTCAGGGTCCCTTCTGACTCTACAATTCTTTGATTCTAAGATGCTTCTGACAAATTAATTTTTGTTACAGGTATTTTTGTACATGCTTCCTGACTTTTGTCACAAATTTATTCCTTATTTTCGAGGAGGAGTGCAAGAAGGGGCTGTCACACCCGCTGGTAAGCTCATTTTTGCCAATACTTTTTCTTCACAAGGCTTTTTAGCATCGCCAAGAAATATGGGTCAGGGAACAATGATGGCATGGGCTACTCTTGTTGTTCCATGTGCAGAGACCTAAAAAGGCAAACTCAACCCTCTAAGTGTGTTGCTTTTGTGATGCAGGAGAAAAGGCATTGTTTACAACTAAACCCCAAAGGAATTCTTAGAATGTGGGATCTGTGTCTTTCAGCTGCTTAGATTTTGCCCCTCGGAGGGCTGTATGAAGTCAGTATGGGGTAGTGGTTAGAGTTGTTGTGAGGATAAAGGGGGGGCGGCAAAGAACCATGTCTATCACCTTGAACTCCTTGCAGGAAAGTTGGGAAAGTTGCAATCAATCAATCAATCAATTTCTACAGTGAAGTGTATACATGCTTGGGCATGCTGCATTGTACTATAGAAACCCTTTTTGACTCTGCAAAAGTGATTCACAGGCAACAGGCCTCCAGCTCAATGGCAACTGATCCCAGAAAGCTTGACAGCAGAAAATCTACGAAGTGCTAAAGCAGCGGCAGGGAGCCAAGGTCTACATTACCTCAAGGGTAACCTTCAAAGAGGCCAAATACCAGTGATGGGTAGGGCCAGAAGCAAAATGTGGGTTTCCTAGGCAAAATGTGGTTGGATCAATAGGTGTTGCTTACCTTTGTGAGGCAGGCTACATTCCAACCACACAAAAATGTGATGTTGCTACACAAACACACCCTTTGTTCGCATACATCCAACATCCAGGCAAGCAAGAGGCAGTATCATAGTTCAAAGGCATGCTCCAGACAGGAAGGATTGTGGTCTAGGGTGTCCCATGGGCCAGATGCAGAGACCAGAGGACCACGTTCGGCCTGTGGGTTTGAGGTCTGTGTCAAAAGCTCAATTACAAGGTCCCCGATAAAAATGCAAGTAGCATTCCACAAAGCTAACAAGACATCCATCACTTGGGAAACGTTTTCTCTTCATCAAGGTCATCCTAATATTGGCTGAATTTCCGAGAGCATCCTAATGTCAAATTAAGGATTGAGAACTAAAACAATGCATATCACAGACAAGGAATGTAACCTAAGAACATCTCTGCTGGATATATCTAATCCAGCATCCTGTTTGCAAAAACAGCCAGGCACATGCTTCCAGGAAGTTCACAAGCAGGACATGAGAAACACAGGATTCCTGTTTCTTTATGTGTTTGTTAAACATGGAGGTTCCATTTGGCTATCCTGGCTAATAGTAGTTGATACTCAATTTTACAGAAAATAGGTTTTATGGCTGATGCTTTGTTTAGCATTTTATTGTCAAGCGTTCACCATTCTGAGAACTCTTGCGAAAGGGCAGTCTACAAATACATCTGGGTACACAGTTGCCCATGTTGTACTATTGGAACAGGTTGGGATAGTGGGTGATTTCTAAAATGTTCCACTACATTCAAAGCAGATTCATAAAAATAGACTGGGTAGGATGAGCTGGTTCCTCCCCACTCCAAAACTCTATGCTATGAAGACTTGCATCACTTTATGAAAACGGTACAGAA